CCCCCACTGCCCTTCCCCCGCCACCCGTGAGGGGCTCCCTGCCCCATGCGGGGGGCTGGAGGATACGGTTGCTGCAGGCTGAGAGCTCCTCCAGGCGGGGGAGGGGGGGCAGCCCCTCGAGGGTCTCGATCTGGTTCCCATCCAACTCCAGCACCTGGGGACACAGAGAATCAATGACACGCCCCCCCTCCCTCCCCGGCCACCTGGGTCCCTCCACCTGCTCCCAGGCAGTGGGGGGGGGGGCCGTAGCGGTGAGACCAGGGGGACGGGGGCTGGGGTCCTCCCCGCTCCAGGGGTGGGGCTAGTGGTTAGACCGGGGGAGGAGTTGGGCGCCCGGACGCCTGGGTCCCTCCCCTCTCTGGGGTCTCTCACCTCGAGGCAGCGCAGCATGGCCAGGGCGGGAGGGAGGCGGCGCAGCCGGTTCCCGGCCAGGTTCAGGTGGGTGACGAGCGGCAGCTGCTCCAGGTGGCAGAGGACGGTCAGGCCCTGGGGGGGCAGAGAGAGCTGGAGGGAGGGGGTCTCTGCTCCTCAGCCCCACCCACCTACTTGGCCCCGGCCTCTATCCCTCCACAGCTCTACCCCTGCTGTCCCCCCCTGCACATTCAGTCTCCTGGCTTCGCCCCCTGCCTTTCTGGCCCCACCCTGTTCTCTTAGCTCCACTCCTGTCCCCTGCTCCTACTCCTCCCTCCCCTCTTGTATTAGCCACGCCCTCTGCCCCCTCTAGTCCCGCCCACTTCCCATTTGGCCTCACTCATTAGTGTTCACCCCTCCATCAATCCTCTAGCTCCACCCCCTGCCTCTCCCTGTTCTCAGCTCCGCCCACTAGTCCCCTCTTGCCCCTGCGCTTTGTTCTCCCGGCCCCGCCCCCGGCCCGTACCCGGCAGGACAGGTCCACCACCCTGGCCTCGGCGTACTCCATCCGCAAGATGCTGTTCTCCACGAGGAATCTGCTGCGCAGGTCGTCCAGATAGGCCGAGCGCATGGGGTCAGCGGCCTGTGGGGGGCAGAGAGATGGGGGGGTGGGGGGCTGGGAAGTGCAGCTCCGAGTCCCCCTCCCCCAAAGATCCCCTTTCCCCTCCCCCCGCCCCTCACCTTCAGGGTGTCGAAGTAGCTGAGGGTCTCGCGTTCGTACACCAGGGGGTCCAGGGCCCGCATGAGGAGGATGATGGTGAGGAGACACCCTGCGGAGACAGAGAGAACCAGGAGTCCTGGCACCCAGTCCCCCTGCTCTAACCACTAGATCCCTGCTCTCCTCCCAGAGCCGGGATAGAACCCAGGAGTCCTGGCGCCCAGCCCCCCCCCGCTCTAACCACTAGAACCCAGGCGTCCGGGAGGTACCTACACTTGTTCTGCGGCTCCAGGGCCTGCAGCTCTTTACAGGACTCCAGTTCCGACTGCAGCACAGTCGACTTCTCCACAGAGAGCTCGCACCTGGGTGGGAGGGGGGAGGTTAGGGGGCCAGCCAGCACTTGAGATGGGTGGGGCTGGGGGGGGGTGTTTTACTAAAGGTACTCAAGGGATGGGGGCTAGTGTGAAACATGCACTTAAAGGGGGCGTGGCAACCCCCAGGGGGCGTGGCCTATCCACCTACACACAATCAGGAGGTGTGGTTTATCTGAGAGGCGGTGCTAGTCACGAATAGAAAGGGACAGAGCTGCTCTTTAGGGGTGGAGCCTGTCTGGAACACACCGGGGGCGGGGCTACTTGGATAGACTGGAGGCGGGGCCATTCTGAGGGGGTGGGGCTTGTCTAGAACATGCACACTAGGAAAAGGGGCTACTCTGCGAGGGGTGGAGCTTCTGGGGGAGTAGGCAGGACTTCCCTCAGGGGGTGGGGCCTGTGAGGCAGATGACCCAGGGTGGGGGGCGGGGTCTCCTACCTGAACACCTGTTCCTCGGTGACGGAGTCCCGGCACCAGCCGTCTCTGCAGCCTGGGGGGCAGAGGCAGAGCGTCAGGGGTGTGGGGGGTGGATTTTCGGGGGTGGGAGGGTGCCTGGTTACCTTTGAAGAGGACGCACTCCTTCTGGGACTCCCCGCCCACCCAGTGCACCCGGAAGGTGTGCTGGGGCCAGTGCTCGTTGAGGGCCGAGTCCGGCAGGTCACACAGCTGGGGTGGGGGTGGGTCAAGGAAAAAGGTTCTAGCCACTAGACCTCACTCCCCTCCCAGAGAACCCAGGAGTCCAGGCTCCCAGCCCCTCCTGCTCTAACCCACTGGACCCCACTCCCGTTCCGGAGAACCCAGGAGTCATGGTTCCCAGCCCCCCGCCCCCAATTCTAACGCACTAGACTCCATTCCCCTCCCCGAGTGGGCGAGAACCCAGGCGTCTGGGAGGATACCCACATGAGGCCGGGGCGGTTTTTCCCGTCGGGTGTGTGCCAATTCACCGCCAGGGGGGCCTCGTCTGCGAAGAGCAGCAGGTCGCAGGATCCTGGCGTCACCTGCCGGAGGAGACGCTTGTGAGCCCCGGGTTAGCACTGCCTCCCTCCACCCCGGCTCGCGGGTACTCACCACCACAGGCTGGGAGAAAGCCACCGCCAGCGAGGAGTCCTCTCGGCTTACGTAGACACACAGGATAGTCGGCTCCGGCTCGGCTGCGGGGAGAGAAGGGGGGTCAGTGTCATGGGACCAAGTCCTGGAGTAACATTTCTCAGTGCCGTGCGGTACTCAGGTACCTTCAGGATATGCTTGGCGGGGGGAATCCCCATGCATCACGTGGTATCACTGGATCATGTCCTGGAGTAACGTTACTCAGTGCTTGAGTACCAGCAGTACTCGGGTGCTGTCTGAGGGAGACAGCTCTATGCTTTGCATAGGACTCTAGTACCACTGGCCAATTCCCTGCAGTAATGTTACTGAGAACTTGAGTATCCTCCATGCTATACGGGCAGCGGGCACTGTTAGGGTATGCTCAGGGGAGATCTCAAAGACTTGTATAATACTCCAGTATCATTGCACAATGCCCTGGAGTAACTCAGTATTACAATGTCACCAGTGCTATAGGGTTACTTGGGTACCATCATGGTATACTTTGGGGGAGGAATCTGCATGCATCACACAGCACTTGGGTCAAACAGACAACAGTGACGTTGCTCGCCAGTACTAAACAATACTTGGGTACCATCAGGAGACATTGCCATGGATCAAGTGTACTTGAGTACCACTAGAGGAAACCCTGGAGCAATATTAATTGGCACTTGAGTAAAGCCAGTACCACACAGTACTCAGATAACATCAAGGGGCCGTTTTGAGGAAGCGGCCCAGCCGTACTAAGCAGTATTCAAATACATCGCAGCGAACACTCACCTATACTCTAGGGCAATACTACATAGTGCTCAGGTATCTCATTGAATTCTGGGAACATAGCAGATTTCATACAATACTTGTGTAATAGCTGCATTATCCCCCAGGCTGGTATTACTGTTCTGCACGAAGTACTGGGGTATCAATGCAGTATACCAGCCCTGGACTATGTAGTAACACTCTACTATAGAAAAAGAACAGGAGTACTTGTGGCACCTTAGAGACTAAAAAATTTATTTGAGCATACGCTTTCGTGGGCTACAGCCCACTTCTTCGGATGCATCTGATGAAGTGGGCTGTAGCCCACGAAAGCTTATGCTCAAATAAATTTGTTAGTCTCTAAGGTGCCACAAGTCCTCCTGTTCTTTTTGCGGATACAGACTGACACGGCTGCTACTCTGAAACTCTACTATATAGTAACTCCTCGCATAACGCTGTAGTTCTGTTCTTGAAAAATGTGATTTTAAGCAAAACGATGTTAAGCGAATCCAATTTCCCCATAAGAATGAATGTAAATTGGGGGGGTTAGGTTCCAGGGACATTTTTTTGGCCAGACAAGACTGTATATTTTATATATATATATATACACACACACACACACACACACACACACACACAGTATAAGTAGTTAAACAAAC